GCTGCCATTAACATGGTCCCTGTCGATGGCAAGTACATCGAGAAACTCGAAGTCAAAGGTCTCGACATGAGGCGCAGGGAGTACTGTGCTCTGTCCAAGGAGACATCAACGTAAGTTCTCCAGCCTACGGAGGTATATATAACGGCGTACTAACAATGCTATAGGGAATTGCTCAACTTCCTACTTAGTGGTGAAGATCCTGAAGTAGTCGTTGAGAAGATCCACAACCACCTTCGCGAGCTGAGCAAACAGATGCGCGAGTACGCCGTTCCAGCTCGCAAGTACACCATCTACACGCAGCTCGGAAAGAACCCCAAGGAGTACCCCAACGGTAACTCGATGCCCTCTGTCCAAGTCGCACTTCGCCTTCAAGCCAAGGGTAAACACGTCAAGGCCAAAGATGTCATGAGCTTCATCATCACAGGTGAATCATCTGGCTCGGCCGAGAGCGCAGCAAAGAACGCATATCCCGTTGACGAAGTTTTGAAAACCGACAGTGAGCTGAAGCCCGACATTGACTACTACCTCCACAAGCAAATTCTGCCACCAGTGGAGCGTCTCTGCGCGCCCATCAGCGGAACAAACATCACTCTCCTCGCAGCGTGTCTTGGCCTTGACACATCCAAATACCGTGTGAGTACCGTTTCAGGAGGCGCACAACAAGACACCGAAATCCACCCTCTGGAGTCACAGATCCCAGACTCTGTGCGCTTCCAATCATGTTCGCCGCTTTGGCTCCGCTGCCGAGGATGTACGACAGTATTCCCATTCCAAGGCCTCTCTTCGACATCACCAACGTCGGTATCGTTGCAGACCATCTCGCACAGTGGTATACAATGTCCTGCTGAAGGCTGTGGGAAGATACTACAGAACATCAGTGTAGTGGCTCAGCTCGAATCCTCCATCCGCCAAGTTCTCGCTTCCTACTACGCAGGTCACGTTGTATGCGACGATCCCCAGTGCTCAAACCGGACGCGAAGTATATCCGTCTATGGACACCGGTGTCTTGGTCCAAAGGGACTCGCTCGAGATTGCTTGGGCAAAATGACCTACGAGATCAAGGAGCGCGACGTCTGGAACCAGCTGTTATACTACCAATCCTTGTTCGACGTCGACCGTGTTGGTAAAATGGATGGTGGTGTCAAGACGGAAGACATGGAGAGGAAGGAGAAGATCAAGGTACTGGCTGAAGTCAACAGAGAGAGATTTGGCACGCTGAAAGGTGTGGTGGAGCGGTGGTTGGAGAGGAATGGAAGGCAGTGGGTGCAGATGGATAGCCTGTTTTCTTTTGCGCTTAAGGCATAGGCGGTTTGGTTTCGCAAAGGCGTAGCATAGGCGATGCATGATCGTCCGGGCGCGCCGTGGGGTTCATCTGGTTCTGGATCATGACGGTGTTTTGCATATAGTGTTGACGTTCTTGAATGTAGCTTTTGAACATGATATCTGGAAAATGCTGTATTGCTTGGGTATATGTATTACTTGTATTATAAATTACATCGCTTTTCGTTCACGATCAGATGTCGCTTGAACCAACGCACTGAAAGGTACTGATCATACAGTGGCAATGCCTTGGGGTACTCCGTCGTTATGCGCACCCTTCTGCCCAGCGCCCTTCAGGGCCTCGCGACAAGCTTCGTGGAAGACAGTAATGAATCGATGAATGTCGTGGAATGAGTTGTATAGTGGGGCAGGCGCAACGCGCAGAACGTCAGGCTTCCTTTCGTCAACAACGACACCACGCTCTTCGATGTAGTGTTGGACTTGATCCAATAACCCCGGGTTAAGAAGTACACTCAGCTGCGCGCCTCGTTCAGCCGGGTTTGCGGGTGTGATTATCTTATATGGTGGCTCTCCTCCATCGTACTTCAGGAGGCGTGCCTCGAGGTATGCGGTCAGTTTAAGGCTACGTTGACGTAGCGCATCCATGTTTGTCAACGCAAAGACGTCTGTCGATGCCATGACGGAAGTCATATCCAGTGCGCTGGGATTGCTGAGTTGAAATCCGCTTGCACCAGCAATGGGAACAAATTTGTTTTCCATTCGAAATCGACTGCTCTTATCGCTTCCCCACCAGCCGCTCAGCCGTGGTCGATAGGCGAGCTCGGTATCGTTACTGACTACGCCGTTTGTGCCGTCTGTTCGAGATGTAGACACTTGCTCCACCCTTCCGTGCCTCTCGTGTACGAAGAGTCCACCGATGACTCCTGGACCACCATTCATGTATTTGTAGTTACACCACGCTGCGAAGTCTACGTTCCAGTCGTGTAGCTTCAGCGGGACGTTTCCAGCTGCATGCGCTAGATCCCAGCCCACTGTAATACCCAGTGATCGGCAGTGACGCGTTATGAGTTCTATATCGAAGAACTGGCCCGAGTAGAACTGAATACCAGGTAACAACACTAGTGCGGTTGTAGGCGCGTGGTGTGATATGACGGAGAGGATGTGTTCGTTGGAGAGGTAGGGTGAGGAGGCCGAGGGCGGGTCGATGGTAACAAGCGCAGATGGATCGAGGTTGTGGTGGGCGATCTGAGAAAGAGCTGCGTACTACAAGAAGTCATTAATTACCAAGCGCTGATAGCATGTATGCATCAACCTACATGATCGCTGGGAAACGCCTTGCCCTCGATGATGATCTTGTATCTGTCCTTGGTCGGTCGATAGAAACTTGCCATAAGCAAATGCAGGTTTGCAGTCAATGTCTCCATTACGACGACTTCGGTAGGCAGTGCACCGACTATTTTCGCGGTTTCTTGTTTTATCGCATCATCAATGTGTAGCCATGGCGGCAGGCCTCCTTCGTAATCGGTAAAGTGACCGAATACGCCCTTAGATGCCCAAGTATCAAGGTAGCGATTCACATATTCCTTGGTCCTCCGAGGCTGCAGTCCCAAGGAGTTGCCGCAGAAGTATATGGACTCTTCACCGTCGTCTTCGCGCGTGTTCGCAGGTTTTCCGTTCTGCTGAAACCCGAACTTCCTGTTCCTTAGGTCGCCCTTTGTCGGAATCACGAATTCGTCCCTCAACTTGCTCAGGTCATCTTTCTTATCTTCCTTTTTCGCAAAGTCGTCGGTGCACAGTTCCGCCTGTGGAATAGCGAGATAAGGGTTGTGGTGTTTGGGCATGGCAGCTGGTGATGAAAGAAGAGTTAGCGGGATTCGGACAAGACAAAGCTTGTGCAGAGATGCTGTAGCACTATCATTGAGGCTTCAGGGACGATAAGTAGATAGCTTGAGCGGGTAAGGCTGGAACAGTCTGGTGCTCGTACGATGGATGGTGGCGGCGGCACAAGGTGGGGTTTGTGCCTGACTCAGCGGGTCTAGAACCCCGAGTGTGAGGGCACGTCTGATTGGATCCCGTCGGGCGTGACATTCCTAGCTATGACCTCAGACTCGCGGTCCTTCATCGCGACAGCGCCATCCACATCCTCGATATCGCGATAATGGCCTCCCCTTCAACCATGTGCGCGTCGTGCCTGCGGATAGCAAGACAAACAACGACACGGCGGCCGGCCCAACCTATCGCCGCCGCAGCTCAATCAATGCGAGCGTACAGCAGAGCAGCACCGCACGCCACTTCGCCATCGCTATTCCTCGACTTTCTTGCGCCATCATCTCCACGAGGGACTTCAAGACTTGTCCCAGTACAAGGTTTAGCATTCTCACAACCACAACACATACCACGACGAGCCCTCGCCACATCATCCGACGCCTCCACCGCAAAGCCCGCCCGCGCGATCCAAAACCCACGCACCGACGATTCCGGCAACCCCATGCTGATCTCGATAGCACCCCGTGCATCGAACCGGCTTCAGAAGATCTCCTCGGGCGATAACAATCCGAACCTCGCATTGCGCGTAAGCATCGAGAGCGGCGGATGCCACGGCTTCCAGTACCTCATGGACTTGACCGACCTGTCCAAGAACCCGGCGACCGAGGAAGATACCATATTCGAGGGAGAGAAGGGAGAGAAGATCGTTATCGATGAATCGAGTTTGGAGCTGTTGAATGGAAGCACGGTGGACTATACCATGGAGTTGATCGGGAGCCAGTTCAAGATCACTGGCATACCAGGGGCGACGAGTAGTTGTGGGTGCGGGACGAGCTTTGATATCAAGATGTAGATTATACCCAGGCAGTTAGATTTACACTGGTCAGTGTTTTACATGGAACTGGTCTCGTAATATGCATGGAGTAACCCGGTTTCTCCGTAGGTAACCTATCTTGACTACCTTCTGCACGCTCCCCATGCAGCGATCGTCCTTCACACAAATTGCGGAGTCAAAACGCCCCGCGTTTCTTTCGGTCGTTCGAAGTGGTCGCTCGCAGGGTCAGATTCAAAGTCACGTACGTGATAGGCTGCGGGCGCGGTGGTTTCGCCCGTGCGTTTGTTGGTCCAGCGGCAATGTGGTTGGTGGTGTTTGCATGGGGCACGAATACCAAACGCGTTGGGCAGACCTCGCGACTTCCTTTACTCGAAACCTTTCTCCTCCGTCTTCTTGCTCCGTCCTCCACGTGCGTTCTCTGTGGAATTACATTATGCGAGACCCCGCCCCTCTCAAGACGACGATGTCAATACAGTCAGCACTGCCTTTGCTGGAGCTTGATCATTTCGACACCTCCGACATTCGGCTCGAAGAAGAGATAGCGATTCGTGTCAATGACGTTGATTTCGTCTTGATTGAGCATTGTCAAGTAATCACAGCATTCTCTTCCTTGCCGCAATCGCGCGCTAAACATCACAGAACTTCCTTAGTTTCGATCACAACACTCTAACGTTGGTTCTCGTTTGTGTCGTCGAACCAGGACATGTTATATCGAAATCCACTCTCGAGAGGCTGCGAACCGAAAGGCTCCAAAAAGACGATGTCTTTCAGCCGGTTTTTACCAACACTGTTGTCTTCTATGGCGCGAATCAGGATGAGGTAGAGTTTAAGGAAGATGCTTTGGAGGCACTAGCTACATGGGGTACCAAAACGTGGAGCTTCGTTCCAGGAACAAACCATGGGCTTGTGCGGACCGGCCCGTACGTATACGTTCATGGGCGAACATGGCAGCCTTGGAGAGTATACAGCGACTTTAACGGTACATTCATGTGTACATTCAAGCCAGGGTCTGAGAGTACTGGAAGATAAGCGCTTCTCACATCTTCTATCATCAAAAACTAACTGCGCTTACTCTAGTCAAAGTCGACGAACCAAAGGCTGGACTCAATGGAAGAGTCCTGGTACCATCACGATGCTACTTCAATCCGAGCAGTGCCCGCCCTCTTGATGGTGCAAGAATCAGCGTCAAGGACAACATTGATATCGCTGGCCACAAGACCACCCTATGCAATCGTGCCTGGGAAGATTTATACCCACCCAGATCCAAACACGCAGATTGCGTCCAGACTCTGGTGGACGCTGGGGCTATCATCGTTGGGAAAACCAAGCTGCAAGCAATGATCATGCGGGAGGAGCCACTAGAGTGTGTGGAGTTCGCAGCACCGTTTAATCCTCGGGGCGACGGCTACCAAGTCCCTTCCGGAAGCAGTCATGGGAGCGCTGCAGGCATAGCATCATATGACTGGCTGGACTTTTCGCTTGGTTCGGACAGTAAGTGGTTCGCAGTCGCTACATCTTCTCGCGCCGCTATAATATATGGCTGCTATCACCCTATCGGTAAACTGACATTGATGTAGCAAACGGAAGTGGACGGAAGCCAGCGTCATACAATGGATGCTTCTCGATCCGACCCTCCACAGGCATTCTAAGTACCAACGGAGTCATCGGACAGTTCAAGTAAGTTAGCAAGACTAATGACTGCTTGCACCGACTGACAGACGTCCTTGTCTTTTAGCAAGTTCGATATGCCCGTATTCTTTGGTCGAGATGTATCAAAGTTCGCAGACTTCATATCAGTATGGTATGGGAGTTCACCCGTGCTTCGACAACCTTCAAATGTCAGTCCTAGTTACATATCTTCTACTCAAACATACTTTGCTGATGCAAGGCTAGACGAGGTTCAGGATTCTGTATTCCCAAGACTACCTTCCCACTTCCAACATGGCGCAATCTTCGCTTATCGACAATTTCGTCACGGGCTTAGAGTACGCTTTGGGAACTACAAGGACCATCATCTCCTTAGCAGATCAGTGGAGGCTAGAGTGCCCAGATGGAAACGATAATGCCGATCTAGCGGAATATCTTCGACTTGTACGTACTCTTCGTACCTCAACACCAAAACTAGCTTTACTAAATCATTAGCAGACCGGAAGTTACCCGTACTACCATGATTCGTATCACAATCTACACGATTTCCGTAAGCTCTACGAGGAAAAACACGGAAAGCCGCCTTTCGTACACAGAGCGATGCATTGGCAATGGTAGGTGATATCTTATTCGACACATAGCTTTGCTTCACACTAACCGTCGACTGACAGGGATGTGTCGAAGAAGATTACAGTAGAAGAGCGAGACTTCTACTGGCGACGCTCTGAGCTTTACCGAAAGTGGCTTCTAGACAGGGTCTTTGATACAGATAACAAAGACTGCATCACCATCATGGTATTTCCGATCGAAGAGGGAAGACCCAACTATCGCGACGCGGTGCTGCCGTAAGTAAGACAGATATGCTGCCAGGACTCCACTCACTTACGTACAAATAGACCTTACGCCATTCTCAGCGGGTATTCGTCGTTGAACATATCTCCTATGCTACGCGCTCCGGAACTCACTGCAATAGGTAATGCGTCGCCGAGCACGTGTGTTACATGTACTGATACTACTGCAGTGGGCGAGATCACGTATCATTCGACCGTTACTCAACGTGAAGAGCCTATGCCGGTGGCGGCATCGATCATAGGAGCTCCAGGTAAGCTATCGATAGAGCACCAAATTGTCCGCATGCCCGGTCTCTGACTCTGCAAGGAACCGATCTCGTCCTGGCCCGATTAGTGCAGAAAGGCTTGGAAGCCAGAAATTTGCCGATCAGAGTGAAGACGGGCCGGTCAGTATATTGAAAAGGGTAGCTACGTGGATGGAAAAGTGGAAAAATTGTTTCCGTCGAGAGAAAGTGCACACATTGGAAACTTCTTATTGATCGAAAACTGTAGTAAACTCCGTGCTTCTCTACTGAGAAAGTACCAGGACAGCAAACCTTCAAGACCATGTGCCAAATCTCAGGATCACTTCAGGCTTACAACCACCTTCCTTGCCGAAACACCCTTCTTCTGTATCTCCAAAGCTCCTTGGATGGCTTCTAGACCCTCTCCAGCAATGCTCGGTTCGGGAGCTGCTCTGAATCGGCCAGTCGCGAGTGCCTCAGGCAGGAAGTCAGCGTACACGGCTTCGCCGACAGGGGAATGCGCCACCGATCCGTACACGAAACTTGTCTTGATACCTCGCAACTGTGACTTGATGATGATAGAGATCATCGAAGTGGTGAAGCTCCAGACAATCTGCAGTGCGACAAATCGCTTCGGTTGAGCCGGGATTGGATAGGTCGCCATCGCAATACGCTTATTGCCTTTACATTTACCCATGACGTCTAGACAATGGAAAACTGCGTTCTCTCCAATAGACATGGCTCCCGCGCATTCTTTCCCTTCCATGGCCCCGACGATCTTGTCGACTGTAGAGGGGTCGTTGTAGTCGAAGACTTTGCTAGCACCGAGGGATCTCATGAGATCGAAGTTCTTTGGCGAAGATGTTGTTATGACTTCGTATCCAGCGGAAACAGCGAGTTGGATAGCGTTGCAGCCTACGCTAGTCGAGCCTCCCCAGACAAGGACCGTCTTTCTGGTCGGTTTCGGGTGAAGTTGAGGATATTGCAGACCGAGCTGATCCTTCTCGAACAGCCCTGCTGCAGCGGTAGTGAAAGCCAGAGGTATCACTGCAGCAGATTCAAATGATAAGCTGTCTGGAATAGACGATGTGTTCCTTTCCAGGAGAACGGGAAACAGCTGGAATGCTCCGTATGCCGCGCTGTTGATCTTCTTGTCTGTACTGTGCGCCTGACCTAGAACACGGTCTCCTACTTTGAACCGTACCACTTTGCTGCCGATCTGAACCACTTCGCCAGCGACATCAAAGCCGAAAACAAAAGGATATTTGATCCAACCGAACGCCATACTGGTGCCCTGGTCTTGCAAAACCCAATCCACGGGATTGATCGCCACTGCACGATTCTTGACGATAACTTCATCGGGCCCAGGAGTAGGAAATGGCGCTTCCGAGACTTCCATGCGTTGCTTCGGTGCTGGCATCCATGCTGCGAGATTGGTAGGCATCGTGTAGAAGATGAGGACTCGGAGAAGTGATTAGATGTGCGTTCTCAAGATATTGAATGATGATAAAGTTTGAAGTATCTTTCCTTGCAGCATTCTCAACATCTAGATTCCTTTCCATCTTATACTTCTACCAGCTCCTGGACTTGATGCCTGCTTGCAATGCAATCTCGTGGACGCGGAGCATTGCACCAATCAGAGGCCAGCGGACGTCCGTTTGGGCCCACATTTAAGCCACCTGCCGTCCGTAGGCTTACTTCGATTACTCTGACGCACACGACCCCAATAGGAAGAATGTGCGATTTAGTGTAAAAGCTCTGGTAAGATACGGCCCATGTATATAGCCGCCGACCTAAGTTCCTCCGTGCGTATCGTGCTTATGTTGCCACCAAGATCACTACCTATGGTCAGCAGGTCCTAAACACTTCAACATCTCCTAAGTACGCCTGAAGCAAACCAGAGAGATGACAAACTCGCCTATTTCCTCGGAACGACTGCTAGAGAGAATGAGAGGTCGGGAGAAGGCCCAGCTATCCTGTGATTTCTGCAGGAAGAGAAAGTAAGGAAGTGATTTACCTTATTACCAAGACACCTAACAGGAAATGTCTAGACTTCGATGTGATCGAAACAAGCCTTGCGGGAGCTGCATTCGACTAGGGCAAGTGGCAGGGTGCAGCTTCCCTCTACCCCAACTTCCGCGAGCTCCACAAAAAGACAGACCGATAGAGAGCGCCACGCGAAAGGCGTTCGAGGAACGAATTGATCAGCTGGAGTCGCTCGTCCGGTCTTTGCTTGACAAACAAGAAAAACTCCCTGATGCTCGGATGCCGGGGAATCTGGCGACCCAAGAGACTACAGAAACCGTCGCCGCGGTGGATCCTCTCGTATATGAAGCTGGACGGATAAACCTGAACGACCATCAGTCTTCATACGTCGAGAGTGACCACTGGAAAGCCATCCTGGATGAGATTAGTGACCTGAAAGACATGGTACAGGAACAAGTTGAAGAACCACAACATACTGAGCCAACAATCCCTGGAAACGACCTGTTTCTTCTCCAAACATACCCAGTTACAAAAATGGATATCGTCGCTGCGATTCCGCCCCGCATAATTGTCGATAGCATGATCTCGAAATACTTCAAATGGGCGGACATGCCCGTCTCACTTGTCATTCACCGCAAGGTCTTTATCAAACAATACGAAGCGTTTTGGGAAGATCCGCTTTCGACGTCAACCATGTGGCTGACTATATTATACGGCATGATGTATACAGTAGCCTGTTGTACGCTATTCATGAACGGCGGTGCGGCCTCATTGGACGAGACGACAGCAGCCGAATATCACAGCCTGATCATCATCTCACGAGAGAAGATGATACAATGTCTTAGGCTAGGTAACTACATGAAGGGCGTACCGCATACCATCGAGGCCTTACTGGCTTTCCTTCAGAGCGAATACGTTCAAGGCGAAGACACACAACAGGGCTGTTGGCAATTGACGGGCGTCATAATACGCGTAGCGCTCAAGATGGGCTACCACCGCGATGGCTCGCATTTCCCGCAGATGAGTGTCTATGAGGCCGAAATGCGCAGGCGTACCTGGTATATCCTCACCCAATTTGACATCGCCTCAGCTTCTGAGGTCGGTCTTCCGCGAATCATAAAGGAAACTCAATGCGACACCGCTGAGCCGCGCAATCTCCTGGATGATGACTTTGACGATACGTCCACCGTCTTACCGACTGCTAGACCACAAAGCGAGCACACGCTGTCCCAATTCCTAGTATACAAGAGCAGGATAGTCTCCGTCTACGGAATGATCTGCGACTTCACGACGTCATCGAAGCAGCGAGACTACGACGAAGCAATGCGCTTAGATACGCTACTTAACACAGCGTACGCCCAGAAGCCTCCCATACTCCAGTTGAAACCTATGCAGCAATCTATCTTAGACGGCGCAGAGCTCATCACCCGTCGTCTCTATATAGCGATGTCGTACCATCACGCGCAGATTACCCTCCACCGCAAGTTCATCATCCTTGCAAAGACGAATAGCAAATACCAGCTGTCCCATTCGACATGTATAAGCGCAGCATTGACAATGTTGCGGCTGCAAGCAGACTTATTCGAGCAGTGCCAGCCAAGCCGCATGCTTCATACTGATCGATGGAAGATCCTTTCCTTGATCCAATCCGAGTTCCTGCTCGCCACAACAGTCTTGTGTCTCAATCTGAATGACGACATGAAAAGAGGGCTCATCGGGGAAGAAGTCGCGCAGAAAAGCATGGAAGCACTCAAGACTTCGAGGAGTGTGTGGGAGCAGCAACAGGAGTTCTCGAAAGAAGCGCAAACGGCCGTGAGAGCGGTGAATGCTGTTCTGGGTAAAATGGGGAGGGATCCGAAAACAGACAGCCAAGAAGGTAATCTGGCAGGTGGAGAACATGGAGAGTCTTTCTCTTCATTCTCGGCAGACATCACTTCTGGCTCTAATCCGCTGGAATTTCAGGATGCCTCGCAAACCCAGCTTTCCTACAACATACCGGATGAATTTCTTGGCACAGCTTTTGACGAATTCTTGGTCATGGATCAGGAATTAGACGGATGGCATCAGGTTTGAGATGAGGTTGATGTATTACAAAGTCGGTCATCGTCTATCTCATAACTTCAGTAGTATAGTTTAGTCTTTTCCAGCTCTTCGAGAGCCCTACATCATATCCGTCGAACCAATGCACACCTAATCTTACACTGCAATCGCTTGGCTGCCTTGTTCAGTCTTCGATTCTTGACCAACGCCAAGACTTTCCATGGTGCCTTTTGGAGCATCTCCAGGTTTTGGCTCAGACTGGGCGGGCGGCTGCTCTACAACTTCGTCAAATATTCCACCTTCGGGCTCTGTGCCTTGGCCAATGGCCTTTAGTATCCTCCATGCCCTCCTGAACTCGTCTCTGATAGCAACGATACCACGGTGAGTGACGGTCCTTGCGACATTGTGATCGGTCTCGAACGGATCTTCAATTGCGAACAGATACCGATTCGTGACCTTTTTTTCCGCCGTGATTTTGGTTGTCGCGCTCACCCAGCCCTTGCTTTGCTTCGACAAGATTCCGCCAGGCGTCCGAAGGGACAGGACTTCGTTGGTCCAGTAGAATTGCGGGGGCTTGGGTCCATAGCCGTACCCGGATAGAGAAGCGTAGTACTGGAAGAATCCGCGTAGCAATTCACCGACAGACTGTGTGTTCTGTGAAAGGCGACCGGCTTGCGCGGCCTGGATGATCTCCAGCTCGTTGCGCCAAAAGCGGACCTGATAACCTGCTATAGTCGTGTTCTTGAAGAACTGCTCTAGAGCTACTGTGTCGCTCGGGAGCGGGACGGCGAGTTGGAGATTTGGACACACCGGTGGTTGGGCGACATTGACCAGATAATGCAGTACCATAAGTACCCATCCGTATGAAGAGAGAGTGCCAGAGTATGCGCTGTTGACTTTTCGTCGCTTGGCCCATGACTTAACGAAGAGAACCATTGGCCGTACACGAGGGTCAGTTAGGGAGTAGCATCGAAGCATATGAGTGTTATGGATACCGAGTGGGTTTTCGAAGTTGATGTCACACTGAATACCGCAGCCCGTCTTTGGAAAGTCGAGGGGACCGACTACCTTCTCTCGCATCCACTGTTTCTCAGGGCGGTGATGCTGATCTTTCTTAGCTTTTTCATCGGTTCCGTTGCTGACACTGTCTTCTGACTTGGTGGCCGACGTAATGGGGGTTTCCTGGGCGGTCTCAACTTTTGCAGGAGCTTTTTGCCGTTTCTTGGTAGTTGCCGCAGCACCTAGTGTAGGGAAGTCGTCACCAAAGTTAGGGCTGTCTGACTGCGCAGTAAGCTCGGAAGCTTTTGCTCCATCAACATCTACCAGCGGCTTTGGCGGTGGGGTAGCCTCTTGTGGCTTGTCTGAAGGGTACTTCTCCTCTTCCGGAAGCTCTTCCCACTTCTGGCGTTCCTCGGCGAGAGCATTATACAAGGTCTCGGTTGGCGTCTGGCATATCTTCAGAATTGGTACTCTTGTCCTTGTGAGTAGACGGCCACCCAGCTTGGCGTCGAGAACTGCCCGTTCCAGCAAACGCGGGATGCCACGATCAATGGCAATATCACTAGCCCTCGCTGGATCTTTCCATGTTGGCACTACTGCCAGATCCATGTCTGAGCCGGGCATACCAAAGCCGGAAGCTAAGCTGCCAAAGCCTACCAAGGAGATAGTCGAGATATCACCAGAGTAGCCGCTGGCAAAAGCTTCTTGCATGATGGTTTCCAGGTGCTTTCGGAAGTCTTCTTTGGCCTCCGACTCGGATCTGGACATCTCCACCTTCGGAATCTCGGCTGCTGCAATTGCGTCCAAGTGTTTGACTTGGGCCATGGAGTTCTCTCGTGGTTGATTCATCGGTGGTCGAGGAGGATATTGACCTTGTGGACGGGGACGCTGTGTCGATGCTGGACCTACCGGGATTTGGCCTGGCAGTGCGAAATGATCATGAGGCCGTTGCATGATTCTAGGGGGCTGTGTGCGTGGTGTACCATCAGCGTTCAGATTTTGTTGTTGATGGGGCCGCCCTCGCCCCCGTGAGTAATACTGTCGATTGTCTACCTGTGGGCCGTTTTGAGAGACATTTGGGCCTTGCTGGTCTGGGAAGTTTCGCGGAGGTTGTTGATATCGCTGGTTGGAAGCAAACCCTCTTCCACCCCCTCGGACTGGCGCCGTGTTGGCGGAGGCGTGGGCGCGCCATCCTTGAGCTTGATCTGGAGTAGGACCTGGAGTTGTGTGGTTCTGACCGTTGCTGTTGAAATTGTTGACGGTATCGTGTAAACCTCCACGACCTCGGCCACGACCTCTTCCTTGGCCTCGTCCGCGTCCACGGTGTGCTGACGGGGCGTCTTGACCAGACTGTCCACCGGCCATGCTAACGTTGCCGAGGATCATATTGCGCAATTGATTCTCGAGCCCAGTGGGCTGTGATGCATTTTCCTGCTCCATGATATCGGATTAGTTTGAAACCGTTGGCGGTATAAGCAAGTAGTGGAGTGTGTATCCGGTTTGACGAAGTCCGGCAGTGAAAGAGGGGCAGGGAAGAGATCTTATTAGGCCAAACTCGTATTCAGAGGAAGTAATTCTGGCGTTTTAAGTTGTGGATGTTTCCTATGACTTTGGTTGGTGTGGCGCGTGGCAGTTCTGGCGATTACTATGGGAGTAAGCGATTGGAGGCCCCAGTTGATGGATCTTATAGGAAGACTATTCACACCAGGCAACCATGGGTGAATGTCTTGTCTAGTCAAAGCGATCAGGCCTCGGAAGGATTTGGATTAAACGTCCACGGTGGCTCTTGTGCAATGAATTGCTGGAAGTGCGCGATTCCTATGGTGGCTCATTCCTGGCGCAGCAACCGTGGAAGCGATGACGAACTGGATCGGGCAGTCGCTGAGTGGTGGCACTGTTTGGGAAGGCGGAGACGGCCTTCGCTGGAAACGGGCTTGGCGCGCTAAGGCACTAGCGTGGAGCTGTGACGTTCGCGCGCGACACAGGCCGAAGTTGAAGGAACTCGCTGGGACAAAGGTGACTGCGTCTCCCCACCCTCACTATCGTCTGCCCATCGCCTCTCGCTCGTGTCCCCATCCCACCGCTGCCTCCGACATGAACGGCAACATGAATGGGAACCCGCCGCCCGCCAGCGCGCCCGCTGCGCCCGTCGCCGCCAATGGCCAGCAGCCGCCTGTTCGTCGCCGTCGCCCACGTCCGCAGGCCGATGTCCTGCGCAAGCCCCGCCGCCCACTACAGAACATCACGAGGCCCATGGTCTCGTTGTCGCAAATGAACGAGGCCAAGAAGCCCGTCGCCGGGCCCGCAAGCGATGGCACGCAGTCCAAAGACGCGTTGCGACATGAGTTCATTGCTCAAGGCGCCAGCAGCTTCCCACTCATCGTAAGCCGCAAGGACTTGAAAGAGCTGCGACACCATGTCATGCGTCTGCAGAGCAAGACGCACGTCGACATCACCGACGACAACCAGTTCAAGACGCCCATCAAGCTCCACCGCCGAGATCCCCGCGCGCCTCCAAGCGGTATGGGCTCCACGTACGAAGAGGAAGACACGAAGGAGGACATGGAAGAAATGAAGGAGCGGGAGCGCATCGAGCTGCAGAAGGAGGAGCGTCGCAAGGTTCGCGAGGAGAACCAAGCCAAGATCGCTCCTACTGGCATGAAGAAGCCCCCTGCCTTCCACAAGAAGACGGAGCAAAAGTACCGGCCCGATGATACTCCAGAGGCAAAGAAGCGACAACTTCTGCGATACGAGGAGACGCTGCCATGGCATTTGGAGGACTTCGAGAACAAACAGACGTGGGTCGGCACCTACGAGTCGGAGCTGTCAGAAACACATGTCATGCTGTCGACCACCCGCCCCGGCGACCCCAGTACAGCAATTCAGATGGCCCCTATGGAGCGCTGGTATCGGTTCAACGTCAAGGGCAAGGTCAAGACTGGCGGCGATGATCTCGATAAGATTCTGGCCAAAGTTGAGAGAGGCGGCGGACCCAAGTTTTTCGCCGAACTCGAAGAGCGTCAGAAGCAGCGCGTCAACGCAGAGAACAATGCGAAGATGTGGAGCGGAGTCCGTACCCGTGTCGGCGGCGGCGCAGACGACGAAGGCAGGATCAAACGCGAGCGCCCCGACGACGACGCAACCGGATTTGTAAAGCGCGAAGCTGACGCGGACGATATCGACTTTAACCTTGAGGAAGACTTTGCCGACGACGAAGAGGGTCTGAATGGTCTCTTTGAAGGTGAAGAGCAGGACGTCAAAGAAGCCGCAGAAAAGCTCAAGCGAGACCAACTGCAGGCTGCTCTGTGGGATCGCCCCGATGAATTGGCCATTGCGATCAAGGAAGAACAAGAGCGGAAGGAGGCTGAGGAGAGGAGGATCCAGGAAAAGGGCACCCGAAAAGCCCTAGTCAAACGCGAAAAGCAATATGACTACCTCGACAGCGATCCAGAGAACCCGTACATCACCGAAAGTGAGTCCGACACCGACTCCGAGACGGAGCGTCAACAGGCCAAGGAAGAGGCAGAGAAGAAGGCAGCCGAGCAGAATGGCAAGGCACCGGAAGCTGGTAACGTCCCCTCTGGTGCATCTACCAAGGGCACCAATACCCCCTCGGGGAACCACAAGTCTGGCGAGAGCAAGAGCAAGAAGAGGCCAGGCTCACCCAACCTTTCAGAAGCTAGCGGCAACGAGTCCTCGCGCAAGAAGCACAAGAAGAAGCATGACAAGCTGGCTGATGGATCCCGGAAGTCGTCCCTTGCTAATCTCAAGGGCGCAGGGTCTGGTAGCGACAGCGAGATGACTGACGCCGGCAAGAAGCGGAGGAAGGACAAGAAGGACAAAAACCGCATCATGATTGGCGCTTCTCCGAGCGGCACTCCTGGTGCTAGCCGTGCAGGCAGTCCTACGGCCAGCGGCAGCCGCGCAGGTAGTCCCTCTGCAGCCTCATCACGGCCTTCCCTACCATCTGCCAAGGAGATTTACGAATCGTTGCCACCCCAAGGCATGAACATTCAGAATCTCATTGTCAAGTTCAAGGGTCGTGTTGACAAGACCAACACGCAGGTCTTCATCAAGCTCGTCAAGGCGGTGTCTAGCTTCGACAAGGCCAAGAGCTGGCTTACCCCTCTGGAGAAGATGCCCTCCGAGGAGCACATTAACGCATTTATGAATGCGTCGAACGCACCGAAACCTGCGTAGTCTGAGACTGCATTTGGTTAGCGCGAGAGTGAATGCGATGTCCAGTCGGTCCCTTGGTAAATTGCATTAGCGTAGGGGACGAGGGCAAAGGCTGGTAATGGGGAGATGTACGGGCACTACTTGCTCGGGTCTATCAGTACATAATACATGAATCGCAGAACATGGATTACTCTATGCATATAGCGTTTTGTGAAACGCGGTTGAGGCTTTACCATCATTCTGCATATACTCAAATCCTCTACCAACACTCATGCGTTTGGCTCTCTGCCCCCACCTTCTTCAATACTCTTCTCATTGCCATCGCCGTCTCTCAACGGACTCTCGTGCCCCTCTTCCGCAGCAACTTCCTCCAATACCTTCTCATTAGCATCAACGCCCATTTCTTCATCCCTCGCGACATTTCTTCCATGCATTTCTTTATCCGCCGTCTTGCCATCAGCACTATCCTTGTCCTTCTTGATCATGCTCCAGCCACCCCTCCACCCAACCCACCTCTCTTCCCATGGACCCCTAGCAATGATGACAAGAAGCGCTGCGGAGATAAAACCTACGCTAGCACTCCCGCTCCCAATCCAACCCGCAGCAGCATAAATATGGTTCCCGGCCGCCGTACCGATGAGTTGACCGCAAAACGTAGCAACCATGAAAGCAGTGTTCACTCCGTTGCGCCGCTTAGGCTCGACGGAGTAGATGCTAGAACGATTCGCGATCTGCGCAGTCTGGTTGCCGAAATCCATCAATAGGGCTTGAAGGACGGGACCTGCGACCGTAAAGGTTCCAGTATAGGTGCCGAGACATATACCAATGAGAGAGCATGTGAGGCCAAAAAGCACGGAGAAATGTGGTACGAAGCGGTCGGTAACTGTACGCGCGTAGATGGGGGAGATGAGCATGCCTGCTATACCTATCAGACCGAAGAGACCGATTGTCAGGGATGAGTAGTTGTATGGGTCGCCGGCGAGGAGGAATGTCAGCGTTGTCCAAAACGATGTAAATGGCGCTGAGCAGAAGAGACCTGCTAGACATGCCTGGACGAGAACAGGGTGGCGGAACAGCATTTTGACAATGTCGAGTAGGATTCTGAAGTAATTCATGCCGGGGTTGGTCGCTGGGTAATCTGGCATGAAGAGCCAGAGCAGGACGAAAATGATGTACTGGAGGGCAAACGCCATCCAGTATACTGCGCGCCAGGTAACAAAGTTTGAGATCGTTCCAGAGAGGACGCGGGCAACGAGCACGCCGAGCATGAGGCCGGAGACGACGATGGACAGGGCTGCTGCGCGGCGTGATGGAGGAGCTAGGTCGCCCACGAGCGGGAGCATGAGTTGTGGCGTCACTGTTGTTACCGCCACGATGAAGGATACGGCCGTGAACGTGCCGAGGTCGGATGTCAGACATAGTCCTAGCCTGTTCCATTGTCAGCAATCTTCTTTCAGCATGCCTCGGATTTCAACGTGACATACCACAATGTCGCAGTGAATCCTACTAAACCACATACGAAAGGTCGTCGAGGCAACAAGTCTCCCAACGGACACAGAAAGAGTAGTCCAGCGGCATAGCCAGCTTGCATCACAGTAGGAATCTGTGCGACTTGCTCATAGCGCACGCCGAAGTCTGCAGCTAGTAGATTGAGGATGGGGTGGTTGTAG